ACTCTCTCTCTCTCTCTCTCTCTCTCTCTCTCTCTCTCTCTCTCTCTCTCTCTCTCTCTTCTCTCTCTCTCTCTCTCTCTCTCTCTCTCTCTCTCTCCCTCTCTCTCTCTCTCTCTCTCTCTCTTCTCTCTCTCTCTCTCTCTCTCTCTCTTCTCTCTCTCTCTCTCTCTCTCTCTCTCTCTCTCTCTCTCTCTCTCTCTCTCTCTCTCTCTCTCTCTCTCTCTCTCTCTCTCTCTCTCTCTCTCTCTCTCTCTCTCTCTCTCTCTCTCTCTCTCTCTCTCCCCAGGCTAGAACAGTGGTAACGTGTCGGCCTCTCATCCGAGGGGTCGGCGGTTCGCGCCCCGCCCAGGCGCGAGAAGTTGCAATTGTCGCCTGGAGGTTACTGCTGTGGCTGGGCACCACGGCGGGTAAGGACTAACCTCAGCCGAGTCAGCACCATCTGACACATGTTAGTGAGTCGGCATTAGTCGACACAGGCCGGGCTACTCTCATGGGCCCGGACGAGGCTCAGCTACACATATGGGACTTATCCTTCTCTCTCTCTCTCTCTCTCTCTCTCTCTCTCTCTCTCTCTCTCTCTCTCTCTCTCTCTCTCTCTCTCTCTCTCTCTCTCTCTCTCTCACTCTCTCACTCTCTCACTCTCTCACTCTCTCACTCTCTCACTCCCTCACTCCCTCCCTCTCTCCCTCTCTCCCTCTCTCTCTCTCTCTCTCTCTCTCTCTCTCTCTCTCTCTCTCTCTCTCTCTCTCTCTCTCTCTCTCTCTCTCTCTCTCTCTCTCTCTCTCTCTCTTTTCCTTTCTCCTCTCCGTCTCTTTCTCCCTCTATTCCTCTTTCTACCCACCCTCCTTTCCTTCCTTCGCTTCCCGTCTTCCTCCCCTATTCCTTATCTACCCCCCTATCTCTTCCAACACATACGCAAATAAGCTTTCCCTTTTACGATAATACTTTAAAAAATCACAAAAGAGAATTCTCCGTATGCACGAAATTACCTTTATGTTCCTGCGATAAAGTTGACTAAGTAAACATTGAGCGTCCATAGCAGCGCTGAAATGTATTAAATGTAAGAGACTGGAGCCCTTAGCGTGTGAAGGATATAAATAACTTACTGCTTAGTTTCGGGCGAACGCTGGCTAGGAGAAAGGAAGGAGCACGAAATATTTGTGTTTTGTCCCTTGTCTGTTTGCTTCACCCCCCTCTCTCTCTTTCTCCTCTCTCCCCTCTTTCTTTTATAGCAGGGAGCCTATGTTTAATACCCTTTATTAATCAGGTTAAAGAAGTGTCACTGCAGCATCTTTTATTTCCCTTTATTTCTCCCTCTCTCTCTCTCTCGCTCTCTCTCTCTCTCTCGTTCTCTCTCTCTCTCTCTCTCTCTCTCTCTCTCTCTCTCTCTCTCTCTCTCTCTCTCTCTCTCTCTCTCTCTCTCTCTCTCTCTCTCTCTCTCTCTCTCTCACTCTCTCTCTATCTCTCTCTCTTCTTCTCTCTCTCTCTCCCTCCCTCCCTCCTTCCCCCCTTCTCTCTCTCTCTCTCTCTCTCTCTCTCTCTCTCTCTCTCTCTCTCTCTCTCTCTCTCTCTCTCTCTCTCTCTCTCTCTCTCTTCTCTCTCTCTCTTCTCTCTCTCTCTCTCTCTCTCTCTCTCTCTCTCTCTCGCTCGCTCTCTCTCTCTCTCTCGTTCTCTCTCTCTCTCTCTCTCTCTCTCTCTCTCTCTCTCTCTCTCTCTCTCTCTCTCTCTCTCTCTCTCTCCTCTCTCTCTTTCTCACTCTCTCTCTATCTCTCTCTCTTCTTCTCTCTCTCTCTCTCCCCCCTCCCTCCCTCCCTCCTTCTCTCTCTCTCTCTCTCACTCTCTCTCTCTCTCTCTCTCTCTCTCTCTCTCTCTCTCTCTCTCTCTCTCTCTCTCTCTCTCTCTCTCCTCTCCCTCTCTCTCTCTCTCTCTCTCTCTCTCTCTCTCTCTCTCTCTCTCTTTCACACACACACACACACACACACACACACACACACACACACACACACACACACACACACACACACACACACACACACACACACACACACACACGCACACACACACACACATACATACGCAAAAACACACACACGTTGCATCTTTACCCATTTTTTTTTTTAGCAATAGATTATATAGATGATATATGTGAATATTTACTTGGTCGGGCCTCTCGCAATTCCGACAGGCCGTGGACGTCATGTGGCCCAAAATGCACACCTCGTCCTTCACGATACCAGGACCTCCAGCTGTGTTAAAAGCTTAGAGTGAGGGAGAGTAAGGGGTAGTCAAGGCAGAAGGAAATCTCCAGCGGGAACTCACAGCAAGCGCTCGTGCCGTGGGAGGGATCGGGGGCCCTGAGTGTGTTTCGTTCTTTAAGTGACGAGTGACTGTATAATCTTAACCTTAAACGGCGAGCATAGTGTGGATGAAACGACTCTTACAAGTGGGCAAAAGTCCGCCTGCCTGAACCTTGGACGTAATATTATGTTACCCGCCCCTTCCTATAAGGACGAAAATATAAAGGTTAAAGGCAAGGAATTGTTCTGGGCCACGGTGCCATTTTACTCATTTCCTTAGATCACCTACGAATCTCAACAACAACCAAGATTCTTTCCAGACATCATCATATTTTTTTTTTTTTTTTTTTTTTTTTTGGACACAACCATCTATATGATTCCCTGTTCCATTATATACGTTTTTTTTCAGTTTGGTTTGGAAGCTTCTATCTTACATCATCCTAACCGCTATGTGTCATTCGATTATACACTGACCTCTTGTGAATCTTAGATGTTTATGGTTTTCTAGGACAGAGCTGTCAAAGCGTGGGGGGGGAGTTTTCTTACAGCTGTTCGTTTTCTAATAAATTGAATACATGATTAGGTCTTTTATGTTAGTTACATAATCTATTCATATTATGAAAAGGAACAGTATGCGTTCTATAATTACATATTAAAATTATTATGTAATCCTTATCATGAAAAAATACAAACACATTATATGATAACCGTTATAAAAATCGCCTCATTAACTATTGCAATTTGCATCACACCTAAATTGTTGCACGTTATTAGAAAATAGATAATATTAATGCGCTTGACCACACTTACAATCGGATAATCCAAGTACATATTACACGTATAATTGCTATGAATTAAATTTCATTTTCATGATGACTTTTCATATGAACAAATATATTTCCTTTCTAGTATTACAGAACAAGCACGTATCTAGATTCATTTTTTTTCGGTCGTGTATTAAAACATTAAGCGTGTTTTGTTCAGTGCTGGTGAAATTGGCGTGCAAAATGTTGTATGGGAAAAGCATCATTATTAGTGCAGGCGAAGTGATGTTATCGTATGTACATAGCGAAACAGAAAGATAGATACAAATGGATTCATGTAGATGGCTATAT